AATATGATGGACGCGGTTGGTGATTTTAGCCTACTCATTTTATTCTAAACCTGTTAAAGAAAAACCTCACCGGTAATATTTTAATTTGCTATTGCAAACAACAAAAACTTTAAAAATGTTTAACTGTTATTATGTAAAAAAGACTTACATAATAACAGTTTGTGTTTCATGGGAAAAGCTAAACTCCACATAAAAATAACTAATATTTATTTTTATTAATAATTTATAATAAAACTTTAGGCCTACTTACGTTTTCACAATAATAATTAGTCTACTGCAATGTCTTAAGGCCCAATTATAGTCTATACTTTGGAATTATGAACTGAAGGGGCGTACATGTGTACAAGGTGTTTCAGAGCCACTCACACATTCAAAACCAATATTAAAGTATAAAAATATATAAAATATATAATAATATTCTAATTTTTAAACCATGAAAAAAAGAAAAACCTAGCTTAATTTCTGTTCAAATTACCTGTAGGTACATTGACCTGGGAGTAGGCTAAGAGTAACCTATAAAAAGAAAATAAACAACAAAACTCTTTACATCTAATTACATTTATTAATTTACTAGCTAAAACACTAGGCCTACTTAATGACACCATAAACTAAAGAAAGTATTAATATGAGGGTAAATAGATTTTAATGCCTTAAAAAATATTACAAGTTCAGAATTGCCACCTTAACACAGCCAGTATGTGTGCCTTGAGAAACACGTTCAAATTTGTCTCTTAATGCGGTCAAACTGTGCGTGTCTACACGTACCAAATAAACGCGGCAAAAACTGACGCCTTAACGCGGCCAAAACGTGCGTGTCTACACGTACAAAAGAAACGCATTCAAAATTGCCGCGTTAACGCGGGCAAATTGTGCGTGTTGACACGGTCACATTTCACGCGTTCCGTTTAAAGAGTTTTGGCGCCGTCCGCCTTCCATACTTGTGTGCAGGCTTTAGGTGTGAGTCAGACAGCAAGACCAGATGGCAAAGAGTTGTTTTCTGCAACTTATTGCACTTAACACTTTTTAACGTCACGCAATTCTCTGCTATATGCGTCGAACTAAAACTTTGACCTTTTGCAACGTTTTGATTTAAGTAGCCTATTATTAAAATGATAATGATATCGCACGCGGTTGCGATATGCATATTGCGATATTTCAATATATCGTGCAGCCCTAACTGCCGTCGTGTTCTACTTGCCGTTTCTGGAAGAGGGTAAGGAACGGAGACTGTTGGCAGCAAGTTATGTTTTCCCCAGAATGCCATGCTTTCTTCCCCGCCTTGTTTCTAATCAGCGTATTACAGCAGGTGTGTGTGTGACATCATTCAAGTATGTCACAAGCTTGTGCACACTTTGGTCAGAGCAGCAAGACCTCGATTTCTGTGTTTAAATGTCTGTATATTTTGATTAAAATCGACGTTTGCCATCTGTTGATACTATTATGCTTGCTGTGATTATGAGCTTTATTGCATTATTTAGATCGAAGTATCATGAGGAAAAGTTTAATCGCAATATTGTCAAAATCTCATAATCACATTAAGAGGGTGCATGTAAACACTGAATGATTCAATTGGCCATTCAAAAAGACAGTCACTTGTTTCATTCCTGAATGAATCAGCCGTTCCAACTAATCAATTGAATGAATAATTCAGTGATAAAATCAGTAACTTGGCGCCACCTGCTGGCAGTTGGTTTCATTTTAAAGTATCATTTCAGTTATTTGAATAATTTAATGTTTTTATATTCAAAAATGTTTATTTAAAACATTAATCTCAACATGAATATATGAACTTAATTGCACTCATGCCACCACTGAGCCTCATTAAACTTCTGAAAATGTAGGCCTACCTACAAGCCACTTTTGTGTTCTTCTCTGCCACCTCTGTAGTACAAATTATTTTTTTATTAATACGAATTTCTTATGATTGGTAAATTATTCCTCTTTTACTTCTTATATTGTTTTAATTAGAAATTTTAAAAAGCTTAAATGTATTTTTGTTTTTATTTGACATAGACGATGACATAATTTTATAAAAAAAAAATCATTACAAATGTAAAAAAAAAACAATCCTCTGTAAATCACTTTGAGTCAAATATCACCGTGTATAGGGAAGGCTAATTTTTTATCTGAATTTTTGAGGTCTTAAGGAGACAGCAGCCTAAATAAACCTGCTGCTGTCTGTCATTGCTGTCTGTTTATACAGTAAAGACTATCCTGTGTTTATTTCACAGCTATTGTAGTTAAATGTAACTGAAAAAAATGAAGTACCATTAATTTCATTTATATCTTATTTTGTTTGCGCTATTGCTTGTCATTTATTTATTTGTTCTTATTGTATTATTACTATTTACTTGGATTTATTTTTAAAAATAAATTCAATTCTGAGTTTGAGCGCACATGATTCTTGGGTGGGGAGGGGGCAGTTGTATGAAATTAATTTAACTCATAAGGTTTGCCTTTCAAATAAATATTACAAAATGGTTAATTCTGTTATCCTCTCTCCCCCAGGGCCATGCTCAGACCAGCACTCCTGACATCCCAACACCTAAGATGATGTTTAAAGGCTGTAGTGAGGGTCATCCCATGCAGTATGACCACATTGTGCTCATGTTGGATGGCCAGTTAATCACCCAGGAGAGTGAGGACAACTCAATGGCACTGGGCCTCCTCCTGTTTATATATTTTGTGTTTGGTATACTAAAGGACTGAAAAAGACCCTGACCTTTTTGGAGTGTGTTGTTTTGAAATTGAAGAATGCAGATAGACTTTCTGTTACTGTAAAAAGGGTGTACAACTCAATTTGCATGTAGACCTTAGGGGTTAATGTTCTCTCTTTCTGGGCCTCTTCCAGTTCTAGCTTCAGTTTCTATTGTTTTTGAAATCTGGAAGGACTTACAGAAATGTTAAAGGGGTCATATGATGCAATTAAAATTTTTCCTTTCTCTTTGGAGTGTTACAAGCTCTTGGTGCATAAAGAAGATCTGTAAAGTTGCAAAGACTAAAGTCTCAAATCCAAAGATATATTCTTTATAAAAGTTAAGATTCAACCACGCCTACCTAAAACGGCTCTTTCTAACACGCCCCCACATGTCTACATCACGATGTGGGAAGATTTGCATAACGCCGCCCAAATGTTCACGCAAAGAAAGAAGGCGTAACTTTTATTCTCACTGTATTATTGTTGTTGCCGCCGCCGCCATGTCGTGAAGGCGCTGTGTGTTTCGCTGTGAAAGCGAAACTACTTTGGTTGGCCTTCCAAAAGAGGACGATATCCGCTTCGTCATGCCTGGAGCTGATCCATGCTGGTCGCTGAGGAAATACATCAACTTTGCGCTGTCGATCGCCGGATCGGCTTTCAACGTGGACGAAGCGGATTCCAGCCCGGGGTCGTCACATGTGGTTGCCGCAAGCCTCCTTCGTCGAATCCGCCGGCCGCACCGTTCTCAAGCCAGCCCGCCTCTTCTCACTCAAGCCGGCCTCCGCTCACTCAGGGCCGCGGTGTGTGACACGGTTTCGTTGTGAAGGCGAAACTACTTTGTTTGGCCTTCCAAAAGAGGACACGACTAGAAATCAGTGGTTAAGTTGTATTTACAACACTGTTCCAGAACAGTTTAACCCAAATATTTAGATGTGTCCAGCGCATTTTATGGAGGACTGTTTCCTGATCCTGTTCTGACTCGCAGACTGTAAGTAAGTTTTTTTATATATAAAGAATTTGCCACTGACGATTCAAACGCGAGTTTTTTGGGCAGTGTAGAGTAGCACTTGTTGTTTGTCATTTCTCAGATCACAAATGCAGACATGGTTTTATGTTTACGTGGTGCAATGCAATGCAACGCGTAAAAACACAGTATAAGTCATTTAAGTCATTATAATCCGTAATTATGTCCCCACTGGATGCAACAAATGCCTCGTTTATAATGGGTTTTAATGTTTTTGTCTCGTCGCTCCGGCCGAGACACGGCATCACAATATGGCAAGGGGCGTAACATTTCCCTCACACGCTTGAGGTATTCGGCAAATCACAACGCACTGGATAGCTGACCAATCAGAGCACACCTCGCTTTTCAAACCGATGAGCTTTGTAAATATCGACGCATTTCAGAAAGGCGGGGCATAGAGGAGAAACAATAATGTACAGTATGTGGAAAATAATGTGTTTTTTGAACCTTAAACCGCATAAACACATTTCATTACACCAAATACACAAAATAATGTTATTTTTAGCTGTTGACAGTAAAAGATACTGCAGGACTTCAGAGTGTACAACTCAATTTGTGTTTGTGTATTATCAATCTTCAGTAATCTCACTCATTTTTAATTTAACCAAATGTAAAAAATGTTGTTGGCCAAAAAGAGACCTGATTACAAAGCTACAGTAAATATATTTAAACTTAGGATATTTCTTGTTGCGTTATGTTATTTGTGTGTAAATGGGGAGTATATTGTGTAAGAATGTATATGTATATGAAACAAATTAAAAGATTTTGGAAATGTATTTTGTTTCTCAGTAAGCATTTTGTACAGGATCTTTAATCTTTGAAGCCGCAATTTGGTAAGAAACGATTAGTTATTCATCTTTTAAGTAAACGTGTAATTTAGAAGCATATTGGCTCATCTATGGTATAATATATAGCACCTCTAATGGTTCTGTATAACACAATTTGACAAATGTGCTATAAAGCTTCTTATCTTTAAGAATATGTGCCATATAGTACCAAACGAGGTGTCCCTATGATTAAAAGCCAAAGAACCACTGTTGAACACCATTTTTGAGAAAAAGTGCTACATGGCACCTCTTATGGTTCTACACAGCACCATTTGACAAAGTGCTATATGGCACCTCTACATAGCACCATTTGACAAAGGTGCTATATAGCACCTGTAAAAATAGGTGCTAAATAGCACTAAAAGTGGTTCCCATATGATTACGAGCCAAAGAACCGCTTTTAGTGCTATATAGCACAATTTTTTTTAGAGTGCATGATGACGACCCTGAACCACACAACCTTGAATAAGAGCAGGAGAACATGTATCTGACTGCTGCTGTGTCTGCTCCAAACATTTGTGTGCTGCTCTCCATGAGCATGGCTATCTGTAAAACACTGAAACAGAGTAAAACATTTTACAATTCATTTTGTCAGCACTTCATTTCATATGTTTACAATTACATGCTAATTTTTGTCATAGCTTCTTTACTTTTGTGGTGTAGTGGGCTAAAGCACTAAGCTGGTCAGCAAAAGCTTGCTGGATCAATCTCCGCAGTCGTCACCATGGCTGTCTTTACTCCAGGTTGCTGCAGAGGGATTTGGGGTCCCTGTATTAAGAGCACTGTAAGTCACTTCGGATAAAAGTGTCTGACAAATGAATAAATGTAAATGTGATTTTTGTAAATCCTTTTTTGTGTCTTGGGCACAAATGCTTAATTATTGCTGCTTATTGCTTAAAGTTTATTTCTTCAAGGTACTACTATAATATAAATGCATGCATATATTTCATACAGTTTCTTTTTGGGGGGTTTAAAGGGTTAGTTCATCCAAACATAAATTCAGTCATTATTTACTCGCCTCCACACTGTTCAATCCTTGTTTTTTTGTTGTTGTTTTTTTCCTGAACACAAAAGGTGATTTTAGTTAATTTTGTCCTGCTGGTTTCTGTTCATACAATATCAGTCAATGGAGCCTGACTTTCAGAAGCTTCATGACTTTATTTGATGATGTTTTTGAAGCTTCTGAAACTCGAGCTTCATTGACTGATGTTGTATGAACCAAAACCAGCAGGACAAAATTGACAAAACTCACATCCTCAATGTCTTTTGGTCTTTCTCTAGATGTTCTCACTGGCTCTGGGCTCACTGAGGATGAAGAGACCACAGCAACATCCGGCCCAGATGAGTAAGGGCAGGTGGAGTGATGGAGCGTCTCATCCATGGCACTGGACCATTTCCAGGATGCTACTGTGGACTTCTCCATCCTCACTGCTCACACCAGTCTGTGGACATTTCAGATCATACAAAAATGCACAAACACAATACAAAAGCAGTCATTTTAACAGCACAATGTCATTTGATTTCTGTATTAGAAGTAATAGAATGATCTTAATTTATTTTTTTGTTTCCAGTTTTCCCTTTTTTTTTTTAAATGCTGCCATCACCTTTCCTTGCAGGTCCTGCTCCACCACAAAAGCTCTGCAGCAAATGGAATCAAGAATCAGAAAAGTGCTGTGATAACTATGTTTGAAATTACAATAATTAAAATAAACTACAACTTAACTACAACAAATATTTAAAAGATGTTTTATTAATTTCTGTAGAATACTCACTCAAAGCCTTTGATGGCAGCATTCCTTCATCAGTCACTCTGCACCAGATAAACACACGTGTGTGTCATCTGTCACTGTAACATCCAGACAAGATTCAAGTTACCTCTGTGATTTATCTGCTCAATACTGCATTTATATGTTGTGTTAACTTGCTTTTTATCTAACACAAGTGCTCCACAATTGATCAACAGTACTAATGGACAAATAAAATAAATAACTTATGTTTGGTTACTTTAGATTTGTTTATTTACATTACTTCCATTCATCTAAAGCGGTGTTGACAACAGTGAATTCTACTATAATAGCACACATTCATCACTCAGATGTCTGTTCATGTTGTGATGTGCTCATCTGCAATTCTTTTAGAACATTTTCCTGTTCTAGGTCTAGTGTCTTACACCCTTAACAATTGAACAGTTGACTCTACAGTAGCTTAACAAATGTGATTTTAACACAAGGAACCGTGTTTTTGATTTCTAATAGCGTCTGGGAACATGATGTCAGCAACGCAATGCATTTTGGGACTTGGGGACACGGTATGTACTGTACTGGATTGATAATAGACGGTTTTGTTTGCTTTTTACAGCTAAAAATACATTACAATGGTGAAAGCTTGTTGTGTAATTAACTGCCATAATCGCACTCACGACTGGCTTGGAAAAATCATTTCAAATGGAGTGTGATTTTTCAGCTTTCCCGCCTGAAACAGCACCTTGGAAACATGCCGGATAGCTCACCTCAGGGTTCATGTGGAGATGGTGATTGGATGTGTACGCACAAAGTACACCATACTAAATGGAATTGTACCAGTCAGCATGGTACTCCCATGTCAAGGTGAAGACATGACATTCCTGGACAAGATCGTGTGCCGGGGCTCAGCCCCAGACGGCCAGGCCCAATTTAAACCCTGGTCTTATGTAGCATGACGCTACAGTGTGCATGAATGGTCACGTAACACGCGCTTTCGGTCTTGTAGTATGAACGAACATCTGCATATGATTGGAACTCTTCACAGCTCCCGCGCTACTCTCCATTGGAAATGAATGACTTTCGGTCTGTCATTTGTCGGAGATAGTGAAAAGCCAACTTGAAACGCAGTGGAAACGCCAGTATGACGAGGATCGTTTTCATTTTAAAACAAAAACACACCAGTGTAAATGTAGCCTTACAGCTACGGGGGCTGGGACGCATTCACACTAAATCCTCACGTGTGAGCCACATCTCTGAGTGTGGCATGTGCCACAGACCAACTGTGCAGACCTATCGGTATATTACAGTACCACGAGCAGACTGCTCCGTACATTTTCGCATCGCTCTTGCGGATGTCAAACACTGATCGATCTACGCCGCACTGCTTCTAATCGAGCACACTTAGTGCTGCAGGCTTATTGGCTCACTGACACTGATGAGATTAACCCCTTATGCCAAGTTCACACTGCACGATTTTAGCCCGATTTTTCACTCGCCGACAAGTTTTGCGAAATCGCCGACAAATGCCTGAAATCGGAGGCAAATCGGTGCTCGTTCACGTGAGTGACAGTCACGCAGTGTGAATTATCAAAGACACTATCTGAATCGCCGACACCCGTGAAATATTTGGCATGCTAAATATCTGGAGCTGTCGGCGATTCACAATCCTGCTGTGTGAAATGAGTTCTGACTGAAAAACACCATCGGCGATGACCTACAGCCAATGAGAGAGCACGATACAGGGCAGCGGGAAGTTCAGGGAGGAGTTATAAACGTAGTCTGCGGACCAGTGTTGCCAAATCCGCGATTGCCGCCGGTTGTTTTTCATGTCAGCAGGTTGAAGCGACCCCAATAACGTGATATTTAGGCCCTGGAATGCTAATTGTACCAGGAGAACCCCGCCAAAAAAAAAAAATTATAATAATTTTACCCCCGAACCGATTTTTACTGGGGGACCCCCTCGAAAGCAATTGGACTATTTTCAAGCTAGTTTTGAGTAGTAATTGGGCGGATTTTGTTGCGAAAACCTGGCAACCCTGCACCAGACAGGGTTATCGGTGATTCTCCCTATTGTAAAGTCCTGCACTGTGTAACCTCCTGTCGTCATTTCATCATGCAGTGTGAACACAGCAACAACTGAATGCTACCACAGATAGTCATTCAGTGTGAAACCAACAGTGATGCGACGTCTTTGAAAATCGTGCAGTGTGAACTCGGCATTAGGTATCGAAATTTGGTACCGAGCGACGTCAATACTCGATGGTATCGAGGCAATTCGGTCGGTGCCTAAAAAGTATCAAACTCGATACCCAGCCCTAATCATGTTTGAACCAGGAAAATTGTTTAAGATTTGAATTCCCAGCCCTCCAAGCAACTACTATATTATTCAAACAAAAGTTAAGGATAATATTGGGGTGAGAGGCATCAAATTTGCATGGAAAGCGATCTATCGCTTCATCCATAACCATGTTGAAATCTCCTCCTATGATAATATACAAGCTTAAATTCAAACAGAGAATCAGAAATTTCAGAGAGTAATTTGTTGTTTAGGGATAACCATACACATTGAACAAAATAAACAAAACATCATTAATGTTTAGAACAACTGCAGTGTCCGTTTGAGTCTGTCTTTACCTTTATAGCTTTGCCAGGTAGGTTGTTAAACAGTATTGCCACTCCTGCAGAATGTGTAAAAGCATGACTGAAAACTATTTTGTCTCCACATTGACAGGATATGCTGTCCAGAACTTCACATCATCAGGGTTGGAGTGCGTTTCTTGCAAAAACATACAATGTGAGTTTTTACCTTTGCAAAAAAGAAAGCAAGCTTTTCTTTTGATAGAGGTATGGAGACATCTTGCATTTAAAGAAATACAGGAAAAATATGATATCACTGAAAACATTGAACAAATAAGAGCAACAACAATAAAATAAAACAAATAAATGAATGAATAAAAGTAAATATGAAATAAGAAAAGACGAACAGTCAAATACGTTAAATTAACTGTGCTCTATAGAACACAAAACAACGTTTCTCTCAAACCGAGCACTGTAACGAGATCTCGCTCAACAGCAAAAACATAGCAACAACTTAACACTTATCAACAAGGAAGGCGAATGTGAGCGATTGTTAAAATCATCCGTCCCTGACAATCCGGGCGCCCTCTATGTAGCCATTGGGGCCACGGTAGTACCATGCTTTCTTCCCTGCAGCTCTAGCTTCACTGATCATCGGCCATAGCGCAGCGCGGGCTTCTCTGTTTCCCTTGGATAAATCTTCGGTGAACTTTATTCCCCTGAGTTTGCAGACATCCGAGACTTTGGTGGAGCGCCAGAACTCGTCTCTGTGTTTCCGCATGCAGAACTGAATGATAACCTGCTTGGATTTATCCTATGGAAGCATATAGGTAGCGAAATTCAATTTAAAATGCAATATGGCAATGCAATATTCAAAATGGCATTGTATGTCTGTATTTAAATTTACATTTTCCATTACCCATACGTGCAAAGTTTGGTGCAAAAGTAAAATGAAAATTAAATTATATAATTTACATTTGCCATTTCCAACAGTAGTCTTAATATGTAAATTGCATGCACATTTTAACGCTTTATAAGTTGCGAAATGAAAATGAAAATGTATAACACAAATTTATTTTATATGTGGAACATGTCCAAACAGGAATGGTAGCATAATGATCATTTAAATGCTATTTGTCCTAAATGCATTTAGACTAACAGTTAGAACACTTAGGATTGCATTTTCATCATGACGCCGTGGGATATTTGTAGCAAAATTAAATTTAAAGGCATTCCGAGCTGACCACGCCCACCCTCCGTCAATCATTGCTTCAAGGCAAGGATTGGCGTTCTCTATTATTGTTTTCACTTATCCTCAAAATAATTAGCAATTAAGTGCTTTTTACCTTTCTCATGTATAGCTTTTTATTCCAAAAAGTAAATATTTATACACATTATATAAAAAATTCTGTATGACATTGCTTCTTGTCCACATATCCACAGATACTTATGAAGAAATCATAAAAATAAGTTGTTCTAGCATGTATTCACCACTAGGAGTCTCTAGACCAACACAAAAGAACGCATTTTTAAGCATTGCTATATTTTGGGCTAATTTAACTAACATAAACAATATTTGTATTTTTTTATTTTGGAGTTGTAATATTTAGTTTTATAGTTTAATATATAGAATAAAAAGTGTTTTTACGCTCTTTAATTTGTACTGAGATAATTCGGCAGTAGTGGCATATGAACCAATATTTTCCTTTTTAATATTTGCAGCAAGAAATAAACATGAATATTTGAATGCATGTTAAAAAAATCTGAACAATTTAATACAAACGAATGTCTCATGAAATCGATCAATCAGAGTTTCAAAAAACGTGGCACTAATGCCGCTTTAGGCTATTTGTACTGAATGCAAACACAAATTTGGCACAGCTGCCAAAAAAAACAAACAAACAACAACAAAAAAAGTAAAAAATAAATAAAAGTAATAAAAAATAGTGAGGGATATTTGAATTATTCGTTAATAAACTAGTGTTTTTTGAGTCCAGCAAAGGACATTTCAGCTTCGACTC